GCGTCTCATGAGTGGTGTGGGTTGACAGGCTACCCTTCGGTACATTCCCACCCACATAAGTTGAAAACTAATGGCCACTAACTAGCTGTGTATGCTTTGAAACTGTCACCTCTATTTAAATTCCAGTATTATTCTTTAGGTTGACACAGCGTATAGGGCGTTCGACTGTTCGCACGTGAGGCTCAGCAAACTGTATATTCCACTACCTATTGTGCGCGGAAATGCATAGGCATAGTGCAAGTTGGCAGCTGAATGCAGAAATGGAGACCAACTCAAGGTGCTGTTACTTCGAAAAGGATATGTGGACACGATCCAGTTTCAACGAGTAGTGTTTTGAAGAAGTCAAGCTCGAAGGTGATGAATTCACCTCTGTCCAAAATCTCTTAAGGTCTATGACAAAAACGCACAGTCGACGTAATACGCTACCTGTGGACTGCTCAAAAACGGCAGAATTCAGGCGGGGTTTGATCAAAGCAGCTGTCAGATTTCAACTACGTGACGAAGAATTCTGCGGCAGAACGTTATTTCCTCTCTTGAGCAAGCTTTGTGGGAATGATATTGATTATTGCCAAAATTGCTAGACTATGCGTTAACTTGAAGTGGAAGACTTCCTATGGACAACCCTATTATAACTCATCGACATGGGTATAACAATCAAGTAAGAATCCCGTACCGTGACAAACGCAGGTGTCAAAAGCTAAATTTCAAAGCCTATTGTTTCTTTTACTGGAGGTAACCCTCATTTGGAGCTGAAATTTTCGAAGAGTGTACGATTTCAGAAACACTTGAAAAATAAGAGATTTAAAAAAAATTGGAATAAATTACTCGCCCTCTACCAAGATTACGGAGAATTTTACCCAACCGCCCACACCGAAGTTGATTTCACTTGCTGGCTGATTATTTGCAAAACCAAAAGCACGGAAGTTGCCGCAGGAAGGATGGCAGAACGAGCACGGTTCCCAGACCTACTTTGCGCTGTTTATTGCAACAAATCAGTAGGCCAGGATTGTAGTGCAGTCTGGCACGAAGATAATCCAGCGAAAGATCACGTGGTAACTGAAACTGATATAGTCACGTGTTGGCCGGCCCGATATTGGCCGCATAGCCTGTGAACGACAAATTAGGGTACTAGATTTCAGTCCTGATTGTTTGGGTTCCACTCCCGGCCTAACTAATTTGTCCCACCAAGGATCGTCCGCAAGCAATAAAAGTGGGAAAATGTAGATGCTTGATAATGATTCTTCATATAAAGCGTCATCCAAAATTCACCGAACAGATCGGTGAGAACGGAAACGACGTTCAACACTGTGTACGACAAGTTGACTGATCATGAGTGGCACGAGTTAACAAAATTTTTGCGCACCTTGATTCCAACGAGGAATCGGTGCCTTGGAATTTGTGTTAAAACACTCGCTGAAACCACCAGTGAATTTGAGGATGAGGTCGAATACCTGGGAAGGAAACTGATTGCTACCGATGAACGCCTGAATTAAAGTTTTCTTTGTGGGCTATATAGAAGTGGGAGTAATCATTACTGGAAATATCGAAGTATAAGCCCAAGTTTTGACCGGAAGTGATGACCGAAGTAACAGTGCATTTTCGCTTGTTAAGTGAGGTATGTGAAATATCAATAAGTGCCACCACTTTGCCAGAAAAGTGATTGCCACGAATGTGCTCAATAGACTGCTTGGGGTTAATCCATCTGTCTGTCCGTTGGCGAATCCCTCAGCAAGAAATCATGTCTAGCGTACATTTACGTACTTTTAGCCTGCATCAGCCACTGAAGTAAAACTAAAAATACCAGTCAAGGAACATTAGTGTTTTTCTATGTATTCCTCTGGTCAATACACATCGGGGAATTGTGAAACTAGAAGCGAGAGATCCATACAAGTGGAACAAGTATAGAATGGATTCTGGGGGGTAAAGGTGTGAAAACTGTTTACGCGAAGATCGACTGATTTGAGTGGGCAGCGGTCATGTGAGCAGAACATGGAAGGCTCGAAGCGTGTATGGAAGCTTTCTGGCACATTTAGAATTCAGATGCGTCCACTGTGCACCGGTGGATTAGTGGTAACACCCTCGCCTCAGATGTACGGAGTTTAAGCCCATTATGGCCAAGGATGTACACTCCTGGTGAGCTCTAATAAGAACGAAACTGTAGGCCGGTGTTTCCCCCCTTTGGTGGTTGTCGACACAACCGTTGACCCATCGCTATGCACCCTAACAACGCACTGATGATGTCACCTCGATCGATGATGAAACGTTTACAACCGAATCGCCCAGCTCAGCGAACAAACCAGTGACTATCTGCGCTACCTAAGCTACTAACATCCCCCTCTATAGCAGATTATAAAAGAACTTCATTGTGAACGTTTAGAACGCATGCAAACGGAAAAATATGTACAATATTCTCGGCTTTACAGTTTACTTCGTTTCTAGATGAGACTGACAAATTTGCATGGTATAGTATTTCTTGTACACGACAAACAACACCTACATATTTGCCAAATCATAATGAGTACTCAGAACTTGCACTTTAAGCTGTATAGGTTTAACCCTTTGGTTTGCAGCATAGTCCTTGACCAGAGATACTTCTTTGTTGAGCAGTCCACAAAAGATTGGATACAAATTTATCTCCCCTAACCTACGTCTCTGCTACTAATCAATTTATTCACACCTTTGTTTCGATTCAGTTAATGTATCTCAACGCCCTTAAGGTACTCATATTCTTGAAGTTCCAACTGTAGCTCAGGTTACGGCCGTATTTTTCAAAGGCAAAGTATGTCTAGGCGATTCAGGAGTAAATGGTAGATATCAGCCAAAAAGTAGGGCACAGGAGGGATTTCGTTATAATCCACCATGCTGACCCTAGTTGAACCTTTTAGCAAGAATTCAGTTGCGTGAACAGTGATAGACGTCTTGCATATGATAGCGTTCAATCTAAACTGCAGTGCAAAGGCTTCCTTTAGTCTCAGTTGGGCTGATACCCAAGATTCATTCTTCTGTTCTATGTCTACTGTAAATTTAAATCAAGGTAAAAGAAATGCTTACAGATGGTGAAACAGTTGAGCACGTTGTACCCAAAAAGACCGCATACCATTGTGACTTCATACTAGACACCGTCAACTTGGTAATTACACAGCAAGGAGTGTTGTGCCGTGAAAAGCCAGTGGTAATACGAACGTTGAATCTTTGCAGGAAAGTCCACTACATTTTGGTTATGTGACCACCAGGAGTGGGGGGTTGACAGCTGAATTTCGACGGATTCACATGGTCACGTAGGTCACATAGGATGTCCCATAATCGAACACCGAATGTCACAGACAAGTTTGCAAATGGATGTGGAACGAGAGGTTTGCTCACACATGGTGGGGGGTGGTTCTATGGTGTCACACGCGGCATACAGGTTGCTTATGCATGCCTCACCAGTACCGCAAGACCGAATGTCACAGACAAGTTTGCAAATGGGTGTGGAACGAGAGGTTTGGTCACACCTGGTTGGGGATGGTTCTATGGTGCCACACGCGGCATACAGGTTGCTTATCCATGTCTCACCAGTACCGCAAAGTCTTATCTAGCTTAGCATGCACACAAGCCATCCGATGCATTGTTAAACTGTTTACTGACATCTTGCAGGCAAACATCGATAACACGTCGGTGGGATGGGCATTTCAGTGGGTGATTCTCGGCCGTTACGAATATGTATATCATCGTAGGATGTGTGAAAAATTTTCAATTTGAATTGGGTCAATCAGATCCAGTTCTGTTTGACCAAATCCACCTTTCAGTACGCCAATTTGATTCGAACGGGGACTCAACACACTTGTAGCTGAATCTCTGGTTTACGGTGTTCTTCATTTGGTACGATACTCGAGATGTCGCAGTACGTTATCCAGAGGAAACACACAGATAGTGGACTGCCGATGGGCTTCAGCAATCGTGAGAGTGCGTTCGGTCTAGATTGTCGGTCAAGTGTGATGGAGTTCGTCCCCGTAATTTGCGCATTTTGCTTCTTGTTGACGTAAATCTTACTCGTCATTTTAGAGTTAAAGGATGCTCCAGATTCAAACGTACAACGGAAACTGGGCAAAATGAGACCCGGCATGCTCATGCTCAGACCGCATGTGACAGAAATAACGTTTTTAGGTCATATTCATCCGTATTTGTCGAGTTTCCAGCATAGTGAAACTGGTGCTCCAATTGGTGTACGTCATGTCTTCTTAGGTAATAATCTTTCCCTTCCAGAACTAGTCATGTTCCACTAATTAATTTCCCTTTCAAGTTGAGCAAGACCACTGTATCTTCAGTATAATTTGGTCCACTTTTAGATAATTCTCGAATAACATTAGTGAAGAAACAACATCTACCTGAGGTATAATATTCAACTTAAATTAATTATATAAGCCCATCGACAGTGCATTACCCGTTAATTAAACGTGGGTCATACCTATATATTCAGATTTTCTAATCACAGTTTTGGTACTGTTTATTTTAGGCCAGTAAAACCGATATACGGAAGCAGACTCGCTTTTTAGATTTGGCTGAAGGAACATCACAATATGAAATTTCATTTAAGTTGACCAAGAAAATGACTTCGGGTACGGATGCTTCAAACGGCATATGGTGATACTCTTTCTCGAGTCGGCAAAGCACAAAGTCAAACAAGATATTTCACTGTCCTCTTGATAGTTGGCAGGGAATTGAGGGAAGCAACTGAAGTGGAACATGCTATCCATCCAACGCAGTATGTGAAGTTTTGCATTACTGCCATAGCCCCCTCTCTAGTTTTCCAATTACCACCATCGCAGTTAGAAAAAGTATTCCATAATATTATTCCTGCACCTTCTTAAGATGATAAATTCTACCCCAACTAATATTTCTTTTCATTCGGCTCCTGAAAACCGAAATTCGCATTACCTTCTGTGTCAAATCTAAGAAAAAACAATGTCAGCCATTTTGAAAAGTGCAGCGTTCAAAAAAGTAGAACACTACACTACTACCAGTGAGAAGATCAAACCCACCTGAAATGCCCCATAAAATTCGTTTGGACGGTAAAGACAAAGCAGCGCCGCAGTGATGAGAACAAACACTTCGGATACGCCAGCTATAATCCACGCAGTAGTACCTTGAGTTAGACTGATGACACCGCCACTGACAAGAACAAGTCCTACGAACGTGGTCAAGATTCCAACGAACCAAGATTTCCCCTCCAAGCGAGTTAGAAATGTTGGTACGCCTTTTCGCATAGCACAAACGGATTTGGACGATTGGGTTTTTGTAAGTGGCTTTTTTGTCGGTAAACCATGCTCGTTGTTGTCGTTGTCGACATCGATTGCTGTTACGTCTTCTTCAAGCACATAACGAAACAGAAACAGCTGAACTCCAACTAGAAAATAAGTGAGGAGCGATGCAAAAGCTCCTGTATGTACGAAAAAAGAAAGGTTGAAAAATCCAGCTAGAACAATCGATATCACACTTCCGACAAGCAGACTCCATGAAGGTACCTTTGTTCGCCCGTCGATGGTAGCCAAACAAGGGAACAGTAGGCCTTCTGACGATATGGCGTACAGCATCCGAGAGATCGTATACATCGCCACAATTTTTGAAGGTCCAATGGCCAGAATACAACCAATCGCTGCTAATATTGAGACATATGGCTCTTTCGTTAGATTGAAGGCGTGTATCAGAGAAAGTGAGTCACTTATTTTCCAGTGTGGCAAAACGTATGCTATTCCAAATGATATTAGCAGATTTGCCATTGTGCACGTGAGAACACTCAGTACCAGGGCAATCGGTATATCTCGACGTGGATCTTTAGCTTCCTCGCTTGCGTTTGCCACATATTCAAATCCGGAAACAGTAAATATGGAAAGCATACTTCCTTCGAGCAAGCCTTTAAATCCGTAAGGTAGAAAACTGTCTTCTCCGTGAAAATTGTTCACATCTCCCAGTACAAAACAGGATACTGACAAAGCTATAAGTATGACAACCGTTAAGCCCGAAAACACAAGGCTGGCAGTCATCGAAATGTAAGCGCCACTCAAGGTGGCTAAGGCAAGTAGGATCAGGAATACCATTGCCAACAAATCAGGGGTGGAATCGACGATTTCTGAATTTCCCAGACTGGGTAGATTAGCATTGCTCCAGTGACGAATCGTGCCATTAGTTAGCCGGTTAACGGCATCGGAGAAAGCTTTTGCGGTGGCGCTTGTATTTATTATCATCACGGAGACCATAATCCATCCAGTGCAGAAGGCGGCACATTCACCAAATGTAACGTAGGTGTAGATGTACAGTGAACCCGCCCTGGGCATAAGTGTGGTCAACTCAGCTAGGCATAATGAAGTGCTCACTACTGTGATGCTGACAATTAGATAGTTGAACACAGTTGATGGTCCAGTGTACTTTCGCACAAGTTGGCCAGCTAAGTCGTACAACCCTATGCCAATGATGGACGATACACAGAAGGCAGTGAGATGTGCAAGGCTTAGGCACCTATTCAGTGGAGTCTTCAGTGTCGTTGCAGAACGCAATGGCTTTCGTCTGATTATTCGGCGAAAAAATTCCGGAAGGGAAATTATCCTGAACTTCATTGAGGCAGAAGGGCTGGTGACCTGTACGCGTACGCATTATTGCAAATATTTTTATGTTTAATTTTTTCTCGGTAGCCAATGATTACTCTCTTATTCTGATTGTGTCTGCCCCACAGCTTCGGCCTACCAGGATTACTAAATATGTTTTTTACTTGCCTACTTATGGTAGTGTTCAGCAGTATAATTTGAACGAGAAGCGCGTTCAACCCAAGGGGCAGTTTGTACCGTCGGTGAATTTAGCGTTCAGTATGGCCAGCTAACCCGTGATTTGAGGGCAACGGACGTGAGCACCTTATCTCATTTCCGGCGGCATGGGCTGTCGAGGTCGACCCTGGTCCAACGACTAATAAATAAGTCCTGTTCAAGAGCTGTTTACATACTGCAGTCTAGAAGATCGCACTCAGTTGCGCCAAGGCCCTCTCAAACAAAAGCCGAGTGACTCTAGGGACGCAAACTCTGACATACCCCCAAGAAATTCCATGAAGGGCTTCTTACCGAATACCCTTTACAAGCCAAAACCTCCCCTGTAAACGATGCACCATCAGCTTTCTAAGTGGCTGCGGTGACTGAAAAGCAGACTTGGAAACCCACTCTTGGAAAACTCGTTTATGTTGTATGTTGAAGTTTAGGGACCCTCAGAACGTAGTAACATACATCCCCTTCAAGAATGTAAGGTGGGTACAAACTGTTTGTCTAGACCCGCCATCTGGACACGTTTCTTGCAAATTAAGGTACCTAAATCAGCTAGTTCCTTCTGCCTATACCATTGACCCATAGAATATTTCTATGTAGTATGGTGAAGTCTTTGAGTCTAATACTTGAGCTCCTTGTGCGCTAATGTCACTGTAAAGTTGATTAGCTCTCTACTCAACTTCACTGTCCTAACTTTGTACACAAGAATGCAAGAAAAGTAGAAAAGATGTGTTTGATGAGAGTTTTCAAGCAGTGTTTGGTAAACACCAAAAGCTGATGTGAGAGCAGCCGCTTGTAAATAAAATACCGGCACCAAACTGTGTGATACCGCAATCAATCTTTGGTCACAATGCTCTCTAAACAGACCACACTCTAACTGGATCTAGAGAGGGCTTCAGCGTAAGGAAATCTCGTTCTTTCAGCAGCAGAAGCAGAGAGCCAAGAAGGTTCAGGTCTCACCGTCATACAAGCGAGCTCCACTCGACAACTCGTCTGGAAAAGCAGCGTTTTGAGAACTACAATGTAGTTCTTCTACAGTATGCTGCTAAGTGTGCATTTCTACCCGAAACCATTTCTGAAGGCTCCGAAGCGTGCCTTTTAGCGCCGGACGGTGTCAGTAAACACTGGATGCTGCTGCAGCAGTGTGACTCCTGTCTTATTTCGACAGAAGGACTGAATCCCACAGTGAACCACGAAGCTGTCCAGCGAGCAAAACTGCCACGCACTCTGACGGCAAGCAACCCTGCTCTCAATGGAATAGCAGAATCGCTACCGGAAGGATATGGTGACCGCTCTGAGAGCTACACCAAATGTCAGCAGCTGTGTGAAGCTACTTCTTCTTTTGTGGCTATCGTGCGGAGAACGATAAATTTGTCACTCCACTTTACGTATCTTATCTGATGTAGTCATTCCCGACACTAGCGAACCAGTTTCACGATGGGTTAAACATTTTACGTAACACATCGACTACACTCACAAATCTATGTACGTCCCACGAATCATCTTACGGCTCAAACTGTAATCATCCAGGGAAAGCACGAACAATCAAAATCGTTGATCGATTGAAGAGTTATGCCGGAACAAACAAAGAATGCTTGATCGCCATTCGCTTCTATCCCCATAATTTGTTCTGCTCACACTAGGACAGCAAAATTTTTCCAACAACTTGGAGCACATAAAATTTTTTGCTTTTCCGCAAAAGGAGAGACGGTCGGTTAAATATTACCATGGTAATACAAGTTTTTTTGCTCTTGCATATTTAACCTCCTTTCTTATGAATCACTCTGAAAGCTAAAGACACTTTCACAACAAAACAAATCAGGGGAGTTTTCGCCCAGGAGGATTTTGTGCAAACTAAATCCTTGCTTCGCGCTGTGTCCGAGAAAAAACGATGCAAATATTAACGGTGAACTGTTAGTTGGTTCTTCGGCCTTGTGGCGGCATTCGACTTTGTAGATCTGAAAGCATTGTGAACCGTATTGGAGTCGGAAGATTTTACCATGAAGATAATCAGCTGTTGGGTGAAGTGTCCGGGCTTGTGAGGAAGGATCATCAAACTTCAACTTGTTTTTGAGGTTCGATAGGGCTCTCCACTGACTCCTACGCAGTTGACCTGGCCTATGAGTGATATTATCGCCTTTCTGCCAAAGAGACTGTGGGTCCGGAATAGGAACCGTCGTTCTAAATCCCAGTGACACAAAAAACTAACCTTTTGCCTCATTAACACCCAACACTTACCGTAAATGAAAGGCACCTGAAAATGTCTGTGAGTTCAACTAGCTGCCTTAAAACTTTCCTCCAGTTCAAGGACAAGGTGACCATGCGTTTAGATAATACTCAACAAGCACTCCCAGTAAACGAAGCTTGTACTGTGACGCAGAAGAGGATTAGGTCTTAAGTTCTAGTCCCAAATCCATTCGTCTGCCATCCGATCTGTTTCATTTTACACTTGTTACAGCTAGGTAAATGACAGCCAAAACCGGGAGATATTGGTCCACTGGCGTTTGAGGCATCATTTCACATACGTGCTCATCAACGTTTAATGAATAAAAAGATTTGCTTTCTCTCAGTCCTAGCGGCTAATCCGACCAATTTCTTCCTCGATTCGGACACGTTCTTCGCTTTCCACATATGGATATCATCACAGCTGTTTTTTCTCCTAAAGTACGGCAGGAGTGGTGTTGTCTTCGAAGTTGCCGGCTACAAACCTGATTCGACAGTGTCAAGGCTGACTTCGCTCCCTGGGGTCCACGCCACTGATCTGCAACTGCCTTACAATCAACAACCCTGCATGGGAAATTACGATTCAAGCACTTAAGAAGCCGACATAATCGCGCGCAAGATGCGGTGTAGGCGGGTATTTTGTGGGTGTTCTATTAGAGTTGGTTGAAATCACTACCTAGGTGAGAAAACAGGTGCAATAATATTCAAGACATTGTCACACACCCGCCCGGTTATTTAAAGACAGATTCGGGATTATTTATCTCGAGGCATCAAGGAGAATTTCAAAGGCAGCTTGATGTCAACTGTGCCAATTTATCAGATTTGGACAGCTAGAAAAGCGCCATTATTTCTTCGTACAGCCCTACTGGAAAGTCAGAATTATTTAAAAATCTGTGTTCGCCTTCTATAGAATCTAGGAATTCGGAGACTTGACAGTAGCTGAATGTTTGTGTTTCCGTGAGAGAAGCAAGATCCGGTGGCGATAAACTCGCAGCATGACGAAATTAAGGCCGATCGATTGAATACCGCAAGCAGCACACAAAAGCGGCAATTACCCAGAGGCCCTCGTTCGCTAAAATATTACCTCTTTTTTCTGTAGTCTGACAATGTTATGCATATAACCTTCATTGGTATAATTCCACCAAAGGCAAAGATTTTATTTTGATTGCCTTGTTTTTCTGTTTTGTATAGGTCACACTGACTTATTTTTATTCGTCAGCGATGAGCTCTTTTTCCCCCGACCTTTTGTCACGCAACTTGGAATAGTAATTTCCATTGAATGTGCTGCACATGCTCCTGATTTTTCACCTTCGTCACGGCCTCCTGGTATTTACAATATCGTTTGAAAGTTACGATCCTTTGTCCTCTTGGAGTAAGATTACCGTCACATTCAGGGAGCTTGGTGGGACGGGGGATCGAAGGATTTCATCCATTCTATACAGACTGCTTACAGTGTGATAGAAATTCCAGTTGACTATTGCACATTGGTCTAGTTACTTAGCCTATTCGCTTGGTTTGGTAGTCCGTTTGCAGATGTTTCACCACTATTCGACGAAACTTAGACCGGGATGTGTTGTTTTGTCTCATGCCTTCGTTTATACTCAGTTTACCCTCGTCATAAAGGCAACGTAAAAGTTTTCGGCCAACAAGGATGTTGGTAAGATAAATCCTGCTCTCCACAACCAGTGGCTAGGAAACACAGGAGGGAAGATAGGGTTGAATGCCTAGGATTATTTAGTTCGTTTATTCTGCTTGTATAAAGGTGCTCGTACGCGCATTGTTCCACAGGCTAAGCAAGACACTTTGAGAACCCGATACTGATGTTCTGAAATCGCAGGTTTCTCAGAAGCCACGAATTCGACCAAATCTTCCAATCCCATATTTAGTCGTGTTAAGTATTTTGAGTGTTGTGCTCTTCTCTTTCATTCCAGTGAACTTCTTAGCCACTAAATTTTGCCCGGATGAGAACAGTATTGTAGGCTAGGCAACGCTGAAATTGTGGTGAATTTCAGTACCTGTGAGGGTGCTGGACTTCTGTGGCATCTTACAGTTCAATAAATTGGATGGGTCCTCCAGAGCTTATCTCTGTAGTCTATTTCACATAAGTAACATTTGACAGAATAGTCTCCTGTAATGGTATGTGAATGAGTTGCATATCCCACCGTCAGTTGGTTGAAATAAGGTGACCTTGTTAAAGGTAACATACTCTCACATAATGGCTGGCAGCAAGACTAAAATGCTGACTTGTAACATGCCTCTTCATTCCAGCTGTCTTTCTGACCAATCAAACCGCACACTGTTGACAATCCCACAAATGCTGAGACGTTTGCAAATGAATGGCTAAACTCGAGGAACAGATAAAAAGTCACTTTACTATCTAACGAGTCTCGTCATTAGCTCACACACTGAAACCGCTCGTTACGATTGCACACACGTACCACTGAAACAGCCAATCATTGATTTCGCCAGTTGGCTTGGTCATAGGGCGAAGGCATCAGACCGCAACCTTGCCTCTAAAGGAACAATGGTGCGCGGTGTGTGAAGCTTCATGTTCGGATGTCGGACACTGTGCAGAAAGAAAAATA